CCCCTTCCCCCCCCCCCCCGCCAGGAGAAGGGGACAGAAAAAACCCAAACTCAATATTTTTCATATCATTTTAGCAAAAAAAAAAAAGAAAAGATTTTTTGGGAGGAGGGAAGACAAGTTTTCATATAGCCCCAAGTGCCACTTGTCAAAAAACCAGTTTTGATCAGTTCTATTTCAAGTTTTGGGCCCAATATTTCAGGCTTTCCATCTGTACGTTGGGACTTCTCAAGATAAGGTAGAAGAACCTTAAAGCTGAAGCTCTGTGGTATGCCCCATAAATCTACCTTGGCCTGCAATCATGAAAGGGGATTTGAACCAAACTGCAGATTAGAGAGTAAACAAGTGAACAGTAGTCCTGGGGGGAGAGGGAGTCTACCGTAAAACAGTCCTACAGTATTACTATGAGTCCAAATGCAACCACTGCAGAATTCCCTCAGGACTAGAATAGGAGGCTGTGAGCACAGGTTGGTACAATCAATATATTTCCTGTTTAGGTTGGGAACCTAAACTACACTGCCGTTTTTTTGTGGAACAGGATATGAAAATGGTGTATCCATTATTCCTCAAAAATTGAGGTTTACAGGCTCTTGCGAAAAAGGGTTTTTCCTCAACAAATGGCCCCATCTACACGGGGCTTTTTATCGGCAAAACCTCTTCCTCAAAAAGAATCGGAAGAAGATATGCAAATGAGCATATTCTCTTCCGCAACCCCCCCCCCCCGCAAAAACGCAGTGTAGACATAGCCTTTAGAGTATATGCGAGGATAACATTGTTCAGCTCACCTGCTCAGAAGTTTTATAGAAAGCAACTGATGCATTAACCAGCTTGAGCCTGTCCTCCATCTTCAACATCAGCTGTTGCCAGTGCAATGCCACCTTTTCAGCACACTCCCTAATTGCGTCCGCATCATAGTGCCCAGCCTGTAGCAACACTTCAGCCTTCTGCTGTACCTGAAGAGCACTCTGGTGTGTCTTCTGTAAGGAAGTGGCATGAAAGAGGGACTGTGTATGAGGGGAGGAAAAAGAGGTTTGTACAGATGTGCCAGGCATATGGTAAAGAGGTGAAGTGAGGTGTGAGCATGGAGATGTGATAGAGTGAAACATTTTCAGATAATTTTCTACAATTAACAGTTATTTTTGTAAAGCATTTTCATGCCCCTTATTAACACAAGCACACAGCACGTTATAAGAGCTGAAGAGCAGCAAGCACTGGTGGACATGGGTAAACTCTATGGATTAGCCACTATGGCAATAACTGAACAATCCTGATGAAATTACACCCTTTTTGGTACCCAAAATTCAGCTAATGGCAACCAGGAGCCATACTTTGCCTTCACACACTGCTTAATGCTCCCAACTCTGGATGAAAACAATCAGCAAATCTGTAACAGTGAGCAAACTAAGGGTATAATCATGAAACATTTCAACATAATTTTACTCACATGAGTATTTAGATTAACGTTAAGTGGAACTATTCTTGTGAGTAAAGATATTCACTTGACCAGGTGTCTGTGAAATTGGGCCCAAATATTTCAACCCATCAGTTGCTGAAAATATGAAGATGACTTAAAGGGACCATTATCTCTTTTAATCTCTGTAAATGTCCATGAAAAGTTAAATAATTTATTATTAAAAATAGTTTTATTTGATAATTAGGCCTTCTTTTGAGAGTTTTAAATTTCATTTATCATGGTTTATTTTAGCAATATTTGAGTTTTATGTAGATGTCCAACAATTAGGGTTTTGAGTGGCTCTTTGTATATACAGGCAGTCCCCGGGTTACGTACAAGATAGGGACTGTAGGTTTGTTCTTAAGTTGAATTTGTATGTAAGTCGGAACTGGTACATATTGTAGGGGAAACTCTAGCCAAACATTTCTCCAGAGCTCAGTTTTATTCTCCCACACCTCACTTCCCTCAGGCTTTATTCTCAAGCTGAGGTGTCTGCTGAGAAAAGCCGCTCCACGTCTCCCTGGTCGGCTGGGAGGGGTGCTAGCTTTGCGTCTCCCTGGTCTGCTGGGGGGCGCGCTAGCTTCGCGTCTCCCTGTAATGCATGTTATATACATGACTCATTAAGATAGCATACACTGTAATGAATAATCCCTTTGTATTGTTTCCTAGTGTACTTTCATTTAATACATTTCAAACAGCACTGTGAGAAAGAGCACTAGTAAATCTTTAGGGCACACCAGACCAATTAATGGACAATGTATTAGTGCGCTTTAGAGATCACATTTCCATAATCAGCATTACTGCTCCATGTGGACAAGCCCATAGATACAAGAACCCATTTCCAGTTTTTATTGGATAAACACAGTTCAATTTTTATTGCTGTTTATCAGTTAAACCCTAAAATCAGAAGTCCTAGTCATAATTCATAATAGACTTTGAACCATCTGGATGAAAAAAATATATTAACCTTTGAAGATCTCAATGATCTTGACTCCCCATGCCTTGTACCATGTAATATGCCATTAATAATATTTAATGTAAGAAATGTTACTGTAGGGGAGTTGCAGTCACACCACCCCCACAATGTGTCAAGAGACAAGAGTACCTCCTGGAGTCCTTAGTTGTGCTAACTGGAAAATAATTTACTACAGTAATTTAAGGCTTTTAAGGGTGTAACACAGCTGTTCAGCTATGAAGGCCAGCAGGGTGCAGGAGGGACAGAACAATGAATCCACACACGCCTCATCTTTTTTCATAGTTATTACTCCCAGTGGGAGCACTGGAGTAGCAGACTGCACACCGCTGAATGTAAAGGCAGCCATTATGAAAGCTCCCAAATTGAAGAAGACCCCTGAGTCCTTCCCCTCTCCTCTTGTGTGGCTGCATGGAGGGGGGCAATGTTTAGCTCAATATTTTGGATTTAATTTTAATCTTCTGTAAGGAAACCCAAAAGTCTCCTAAAGACACATCTAGTCTGTTTAGGTTTTAACTGTTAATGCCAAATTTATACATTAATGACCTAATCCCTGAACTAGGAAAAGAGCTTGAAAATGTCTGGTAATACACTACTGAATAATACAATGTACAGAAAGCTATTAGCAAAAAGGATTAATAGTTGTCAGAAACATTTAGGAAGATGTTCAAGAACACTGATTTACTGCTTTTAGGATGCTAATGCTTATTTTAAACAGAGTTTAAAGCATTGTAAATGAAAATGAATTCAACATATAGAAAGCCTTTAGAGACCTGTCTCTGCCCTGTGAGCTTTGCACATCTCTCTCACATGTTGAGCTTTAAACACTATTAATATTTAATCTCCTGTTTTCTCCCTTTGCAAACTTTCTTGCCCTACAATGTTGTAATCCTTTTCTCCCTGTGTGGCTTGCATTTACCACTGACTACAAGTCTCTCCTAAGTGGTAGCAAGCTGTGCTACACAGATAGTCTGTATTCTTCCCCACAGTGCTGTCTGCCCAATGCTGCTTAGATCCAGTCAGCACATTTCAGTGCCAACCAGCTGATACAGAATTGTCACCTTCCTTCTACCCTAGATACTAAACTCTGTCCTCAATCCTAGTAGAACTGGATCAAAATTGATTATTTTCAGAGTTTATAAGACCTAAACTAACTGACGACATTGATAACATACGTTTCCTTAAAAATTAAAGCAACAGTTTCTACTAAGCAGAATTCTCCCAAATCTCCCTCTATGGAGATGTTATTTTAATGGCAATTGCAAGTTTGAAGCTAGCTAGTTTTGTTTTGAACACATTTTGATTATAGGAGGAGACCTAAGAAAAACATCATGTTCCTTCACTCATTACAGTAATAATCTAGGGAACTAGACACTTCTTAATTGGCATGAATGGGAGAGGCAATACAACCCCTAGTATGTCACCAATATAATATCTTATACAGTGACAGATGGCAATCACATTACTTATTGCAGTACTGGAAGATGTTGAGATATTATCGTGTTGAATGCAATATAAAAACATATAAATCTCAATATGAGAGCAGTATAACTATATGCTATCCCATGGACAAGGCTTATGGCAAAACCACAATTTAGATAACAGTTAGTACAAACTCTACTTCTCTAGTCTGAAGAAACAATATTTTAGGAGAGCTTTTCTTTTCTGAAAGTCCCTTCTTCATTCCAAAGTAGCAGAATTAAATCAGATAGAGATTTCATCTGAGAGGGTGCTTTAATATTCAGTGATGAATAAATTCATAATGGTGGATCCTGGAAATAATCTACATATCTTGTTCTCAGAAAGGAATTGACTTTGTGAACTTGCCCCATTTCAAGTTCACTTCCATGAATTTTAATTTTGTCAGATGTTACCAAAGGAATTACCAGGATGTACGTGTCTGGAGTTATCCTGAATGCCACTGTTTGCAACTGACAGCAGAAGGACTAGCGATCAATGATAAATCATTTATGTCACTATTAACCCTCTGCTACATGAGGTTAGTGATAAATTAACTGTTCAAAGAATATTTTCCCTCTTTTTTTTTTTTCAAGAAAACAATGGTTTGATCTATGTCAGCCACATATATACTGTTTATCTGGGAAAGAGAAGCAAAATGTCCCCACTGTTACCTCTATGGCCAGCTGGAATTGCTCATGCTCTCGCTGGAGTTGCTCAGCTTCTGAAAGAGAGCTTGCGTTGACTAGACTGGCATTGAGCATTGACTCCCCATTCCGAATCCAGCCGAGCACCTGTATAAAAAGGATATGCGGAAAGGTTATCTCGGCATGATTGCCCATGCAGTCACATAATCTCCTAATAATTCAGCCCACCTGAAGATCTGTACTCTGCATAACACAGTGTAAGTGTGAGTCAAATGACAGAAGAGAAATCCTTGGATAAGGACTGACTTTTTTACATAAATAACATTAATTGTCAAAAAGACAGCAGGTCACACTATAGAAGTTATTGCTTGAAAAGAATATAAGACAGTGCACGAGTATTTAGATGGCAAAGAAGTGTTCAATATCATCCAAAGCTTTGATTACAAAAGTGAATATTGCTCTGTGTAAATGCCACAGGGCAGGCATGCAAAGGGTAACAATTCAGAGTTCAAATTAGATGAGATTTTCTGCTGCTTTTTTCTGTCTACATTTATGTTTGAAAAGTTACATTTTCACCTTAAAAACTGCTTTCTTGTACTTACATCTTTTAGCAAATAAAACAGTTCTTAGCAAAATGTCATAGAAACCTGGGGCATGGTTGTGATCTCACTTTTAAATCAAATCTGGGTCAGACCCATTGAGTTTAGGAGCTCACTGTAGCTAGCAATGTGAGCTCTCCGCCTCTGAATGGTATTTTTCATCCAACAAGCCTTTGGAACAGGATTAGGAGGATTAGGTGGAAGGGATGCTTTGTCAGGTCTCATGCAGACTCATGGTTTGGAAGCTTCATAGGAATTGTCTACATATTTGCTGAAACAAAAAAAGGGCCCATTTCTATATTGGAATTTGAATAGTTTTAATCAAAACAACCCTATCCCCTCAATGTGAACATCCAGGAATTTGAGGGGAGATCTGATCTGGAACAGTCCAAGCTCTAGAACTCAGGCTCACCTCTACTGTTAACGAGAGCCATCTCTGACCACATTCTTGATAGCAGTATGCCAACAATTCTTTGACCAACGTGGACAAATTCTTCTATAAATAAGGGCTCATTGGTTTTATAAATAAACCAAGGGGTTTGGTTTGAACTAACATCCCAGCGCACACTTGCACTTTCGAAACAACTGTTGATCGGAGTAACACACCAGCGAGATCATGCTAATGAAGCATGGGATATTTAAAACCCCGCTTCACTGACTATTTCAAATGCCTACATTTGCATCCTTAGCTTGAACTAGGATGCAAGTGTAGACATACCCTATGGGTTTGTAACAATTTATCCCTGTTTACACTGGGCATGTAAAGGATGTTTCTTGATTACATTGTTTCAACAGGAGTCCATCCTGTAGCCACAATAACAATTGTGATGGAGAACTCTTTTGAAAAGAGTTCATAGTATTGTCTTACAAAAATTCTCAGATTTTCCTTTCTTGTCCTGTTCACTTTATCTTTCTTGTATGAACTAGCATGGACCAGGTGGGCCACAATGAGGTATTCCTTCAATTTGCACTTAACAATTGCTCCAGTTCTGCTTCATTTCAACATGCATAGTTTCCTCTTACATGTTTGTATCGAGAGTAATTTCCACCTTCATTCTCTATTCTTACTGTGTGATTCTCATTCTGTACTTGTAAAGTTTAGTGCCCCCCTCCAAAACTGTCATCCATGCTCCATAAGTAGTTTTGCTCTCTAGTTAAGAATAATGCTGGCATACTTGATATTTTCTTGGATATCAATGTTCTCAAAAATGTAAATGAGCAATCCTCCCTCCCCCCGATCATTATGGAGCCCAATCCTGCCACATTTACTGAGTTTGAATAGTATTCTATTCTGCAACTAGTCTCACGAGTTTCAATAAGGGTTTGATTCAATGCCCACTGACATCAGGAAGCATCTTTCAATTGGCTTCAATGGCTTTGGATCAGACTCTTGAACTGCTTTTGGAGTAAGGCACAATGTCAGGGTGGCAGAATTGGGCTGTATATATTTTTTTAAACAGTGGGAACACATTCTTCTATTTTAAATTCTCTATCCAAAAACAATCACTCAAATAGCACAAGTAAATTCTTGGATAAATTTGCCTACTGCTTTTAGTCCTATTTTCTGTCAATGCAGTAATTAAATTATTTCAAGAAATACAGCTTAAAAAAATTGTAACATTCAGTTTACAAATGCACAGGAAATCCTTACTGCCCCATCATCTTCACAACTGTAGTTCATAATCTATATTGCTTTGAAAGTCAATAACTTTGGTTTACCATTCTAGATAGCAATTTATCTTTTATCCCCCCCTTTCCCTCCAAGTGATTCATTAGGGTGCCTTAAAGAAACCATTTTTTCTCCCTACATCATATATCACCCTCCTCACAGCCATTTGCCTCCCTCTGGGATCAGGAAATTAGTTGGAAAAAAGGGAACCAGTCTCCACATGTAGCTGACCCTAATTTGTAGAAAATAGCATTCTGCTCAAGTCAGCAGAAGGATGGTTTTCTGCTATCAGCTCTCTCTCTTTCATCAGCAGGTGCTACTGTTGCTGTGGGAAACACAATGAAGTTACTGAGAAAAAGGAATAGGATTATCACACAACATTCTTTTTGTCTATGATTTTGTATAATCCCCTCGACCTGTAAACCCATATATTACAAACTACAGTGCACCAAGAATTGAAATTCTATCTCTTTTAGGAAGGAATTAACCCAAGTATCACCATAGCTGAACAAGATATGAAGTGACAGCCAGCAAACACTTTCACATTTTATTGAACTCCAAGCTGACCTGGGCCTGTGTGAATTAAAAGTGAGAGAGAGAGAGAGAGAGAGAAAGGGAGCATTTATTTTAGAAAAGCAGTAGCTAAGCATAATCATTCTTTTTTAAAAGAGATCAAAATGTCACAGGAGAGTTTAGGAAGCAGCCTTCATTTTTAAAACCTATAAACTGAATTTTTCAAAAACATTGATTTAAATGCTGGATTATTTTTGGAATTTGTCTTTCTAAATTGCCTATGCCTTAAAAGTCAGCATGGCTTTAAACTATGGACAGTGGACTAGGTAACATAACAGGACTGATTTCCTAACATCAGTAGTAATGAGCTGTCCTCTGTGTACTTGATCTCTCAATGCAACAGCCACCTAGACCCAATGAAATCAATATATATCTTAAAGCAGAGTTCTGGTCTTCCATCTCGTCAGTCATGTTTATGTTTACACAGTGACTGTGAAAAACACCTGCTTTACAAAAATGACAAATGCCTGATCTAGCTCAATATAAACTGGAAATGTGTCACAGCTGACATTCTGCCCATCTTCATTCATTGTCTGAAAGCATGTGTGCAACTAAAAATGCTTAGTGGGGCTGAGGCTGGCATTTTAGCCTCAATTTTTCATTTCCTGGAATCTGTTCGCTTCATTCAGAGCTCTTTTATGTGATACTGTCAACTGAATTTTTGGTTAAATTTTCTTCTCATGAAACTGAGGTACTGCCAGTATTGATGAAAGCCAGGGATGGATCCCACATGATTTAGGGCAGGCTGCTCCGCTCATTTGTTCTGTGAAACTGTGTCTGTTTTTATTGGTCAGGTAAGACAAAAGGCATCATTTCTGCTCCCTAATTAGAAAAAATGCAAAAGTTCTTTACATGCAGATCAGTAAAACTTGTGAAAAACCAATTGCATAAGTGAAATTGATTTATCAAAAATTGCAAATGACTATTCAGAGATCTTTTGCAGTTTCACTGGTATCTAGTAGTAACACACTAGTGCTACTCTCCCATCTACTCTGCACTTTACTTTCCACAGATATCTGGATAAGGAAGATTTGGGAAGTAGCAGTAGGACACAGAAAGGTCAGCAGGATACTGCACATTCTAATCGACCTTAGATCTGTTAATGCTATGACATTCCTTAATTTCAGGTTAACAAAACATGTAGATGGTATCATGAGCTTTTGTGGGCACAGCCCACTTTCATCTATATGTTTTGTTAGTCCATAAAGTGCTACCAGACCATTTGTTGTTTTTTCCTGTTACAGTCTAATATGGATGTAGCTCCTTAATTTTAGGGTGCCTCTAGACTACATTCCTCTTTCAAAAGAGAAATGTAAATGAAGGAAATTGAAAATGCAAATGAAGTGCAGATTTACAAATCTTGCGCTTCATTTGCATAATCATGTCTGATCGCTTTTCGAAAAAGGTTATTTTTTTTAAAAAAAGCCATCTAGACGAGGTTCTTTCGAAAAAAAACCTTTTTCGGAAGAACCCCGAAAACCTAATTTTTTCAGGAATAAGGGTTCTTTTGAAAAAGGGTTTTTTTCCCCCAAAGAACCATGTCTAGACTGCTTTTTTTTAAATAATTGGACACGATTATGCAAATGAAGTGTGAGATTTGTAAATCTGCGCTTCATTTGCATTTTCGATTTCTTTCATTTACATTCCTCGTTTGAAAGAGGAATGTAGTCTAGACACTCCCTCAGTGGAAACTAAACCTTCACATACCTCTGAAAATGTAATATCTAGTTTTAGAGATAGAAAGCTAGACCTTGATCCTGCAAATGTTAATACAAGCTTTAATTTTAAGTATAAGCATATATGTAAAGGTTTGCAGAATCAAGGCACTGGTGCTTTAATTCAGTTCCTTGCTGGTCCTCTAGGCTTCCTTTCTGTTGATAGTACATTAACATACCTTTTTGCTGTTTTGCTATTTTAAAAAGAATAACAGTCACCACTCTCACAGTCTTCAGTGTCTCCATTTAGCACAACTAATCAATATCACCTAAATTAATTGTTTACATCTATGCCAGCTACTTTGAAATCAATATATTTTTCTGCTTCTCACAACTCCTTACAACTACAGTAGTCTCTTATGTTTTCACCTTAACCAAACAACTAAAATAAACAATTCAGTACTAATGATTACAAGAAATTATTCTAACATAGTCAAAATCAGACTCAGGGCTTGCTAGAAGCTTACCAGCAAAGTAAAATCTTCCATCTTGTACCTAATGCCTTCATTTTTCAGTTCAGCAACAATTTATGAGTTTTTAAGTAATGTAAAGAATAGCCTCATCATCATCACTACTAATTGTGGCGATGAA